TGCATATAAAATGAGAAAAAATGCTGGAGCGGTCAGGTTACAAGGCTCCAAAATAAAGTTTGGACAATATTGACAATGAATGCTACTTGCCACTTCGGAAATGGATGTAGTGGGTTGTTAGCAGAATTCGTATGCTGCCTGTCTCTTTCCGCAAAAAAGTGCCACAAAAATTGGTCGATGTTGGCTGATGGGACTGAGGAAATGTAGGACAGACAGGCAGACGGACACGAATCCGAATGTATGGCAGCAAGGCAAACAGACACGAACTTCTTGGACTCCCCCTCCCCCCGCTCCAATCGATGAGATTCCCTAACAGTATACCTCACTCCCCCGTTTTCGAAATTCCCGGCTCCAACCGACAATAATCGCCTTTAAATTCCAGTGCAATTATTATGCAAATCCACCTCACCTGGCACAGCAGTACAGCTCACGGGATGGATCGCTTACGAAAAAATACGGACTCACAGACACTCACCCACATTCAGCGGTCAAACATGCAGACGGACACAGAACGACATAAATACACACACAAGACAGACAAATCCATGGACACACATGCGGACAGCAATGTCAGGATGAGCAGGAAACGAGTCCGGAGGAACGCATACAAGCAGACAAACACGACTAGCCGAAGTCGATGAACAAACGGACACACCCGCTTAGTGAGCAAGCAAAAGGACTGACAGACACATGCATTATTAACCGAATATACATGCAGCAGGAATGGGACGGGGCGAATAGAAAACATCTCAAGAACAATGAAATATGTTCGTTCGATGCATGTTTTTCACCTTACATTCTGAATCTGGGCCTTTACCTCACTGAACGTACCTCATTCTCCGTCGTAAAAGATAAGAGCCCAAAAGAAATGAGCATGCATGAGAAGTGCAAAAAGTTATAAGACTGTAAATGAGTAGAACCGGTCAAGGATACCAAGGGAAGAGAAGAAGAGAGGGGTTGTTTGTTCCCTTAATTCAAAGGAAAAATCGGTCCAAATTTGCTGCTGAGTGTTTGAAGAGAGAAAACATGTGGACAAACACAACCGGACATTATCAATTCATAGTGTGAGTTATGGAGCCACTTAATCATACTAAAACGTGATGTGCTGCTTTAAAGCAAACACCTAGCAGTTACTATTTCAAAGGGACAATCCTGAAAAGAAACGAGTGCATTCTGCAGCGAACGATCGCCCTCATCCTCTCCCAGTATCCAGTTCATTTAAATATTTGAATTTCTTGAGGAACGACTGCTCTAGCAACGACCGCTGGACCGAAACTGTCTATTTTTATTTATGCAAAATTGACGACGGCTTACGGTAGTGAGCGCACAAGATAGATATAAAGCAGCAATCATCCATGTGGTTGGCCATGCAATTTTTATGCGTTTTTGCATGTACGCAAATGCAACCCAAGCCAGAAAGAACGCATCAGGCTTGCCGGTGGGGTCACGTGCTTTTTGCATCAGACGTGAAGTACTCAGGTTGTTAACTGCGCGAATGATTGTTGCTTTATACCTGCTTTTTGTTCGCACTGGCGTAAGTCATCAAATTTTGCATAAGGGAAGTGAACAGTTTTCGTTTAACAATCGTTCTTTGAAAACGACTTGACTGTTCAGTGAGCAATTTTCCCGCCAAAACTTTTAAGTGTCCGCACTTGAGAACTACATACACCTGGAGGCTGAATTTGAAATATTTAAGTTGTACTTGGACACCCTGTCGTATCTGACATCTGGTAAAATTCACTCGTAAAATCGCCTCGCTCATAAAATTCTGCCCAATCGCACTGCTATAGCTGAATTTGTCAAAGATTGTTCCTGAATTGTTCTTGGCTACTCTGATTTTAGGCAGGTCAGGGCAGATTCTTTCCGTATTTACCGTTGTTGATTTTGGTTTCACCAAGTAATTTCATGGATGTATTGTTTTATAGTTCTTGCGGATTGAGCCCCTTTTTGAGTCAATCATTGCATGGGCATTTCGTTAAGTTAGCTGAAATCTATGTTTGTTGAGCGAATCACATCTGTCACTTCCGAGCCGTGATATTTTCAAACTGGCGGGAACATGATAAGGAATGGTAAGGGTTTGAACACCTACTAGGTGAGCGAGTTGATGATCGCAAAATATTGGTATGTTGTGGTGGTTACCCCCACATGCACCCAAGTAGAGGTCTTTTCAGAACTATATGACGCAAATGCTGTGAAAATGAAGTGAACTAAAAAATATGACGCAATTTGAGCTGTTTTTCAGTTGCACGAGGCAGCTAGACTGATTTCTGAAGTTTTTTTGCTGTACATTTATGCATGTAAGCTTTTCGCTTCAGCTGTGAATTGAAGTGAAATTCGCTAAGCATTGACATCCACGTAGGGCATTTCAACGCCCAGCGGATTCCACAATCTGCTTTATCCATCGTTGTTCAGATTCTCGAACAGTGCATGCACGGGATGTCAATGATGCTTTTTAAACATCAACACATTGTTCCAAATATTGCCACTTTTAGACCCGGCTTGTCGTCGAGGAAGGGAACAGTACATCTATACTTTGATCAGCTGTTCTTTCATAGCTGCGTTTCTTCTGATTACTAATAGAGCTGGCAAAACCACCATTTTCTGGACTCCTCTCATCCACGCAATTTCATATAACTATCCAATAAGATCTTCACATCGTAGCGACTACGTCCACCCTGTTTTTTGAAAATTGCATGAGTGCTTTTCAATAACCCGGCCTTATCCTGCTTCTCGAACTCGAATCATGTAAACTGATTTGGAGAAATTACACCCTCCTCCCCTCAACTGTCTAAAACACACCCAATGCATTGCAGCTGTCGTGATGGTCCTTTGACATCGTGCGTTTAACTGCAGCGCGGAGCGTCGATCTCAGTGGATGCAAATCGATTTGCAATTGGTTGCTCTTGGAGTTGGTCCTCCTATTGCCCCCTCTTCCATGCTCTCTCCCTGTCGCTGTTTGTGTCTTCTCCTTCCACATTTTATATACACTTCGGGAGAACGAGTCCATTTCAACATCAACAACAGATGTGCCTCCTTCCCCAAACACTCCTCACCAGATTTCTGATGAAATCGCTGCTTTCGTAGTATTTCTGTTCAACCGTGCCCGGTGGGAATTTGATGTTTTAACAGAAAGTTGTAATATGAGAGGTCTGGGGTCGTGGGAAAAGCTCGGGAAGGGAAAGGAGGTGCCACAAGATGAGGAGTGGAGTGTGTCTGGTAAATTTTCCAATTTTTTCGAGATTTTCGAATTTTTGAGAGATCTTATGTTATTCTTATTACTGCAGTATTTTTTACTTTATTGATG